GTGCGTGCGTGCGTGTGTGTATGGCTGTCACTCAGTTAAGCGCTCACACTACCAGCTTTGCACAGTCGTCAGCTCCTTGCTCTCTGCCTCTCCCTCTGCGTTCTCTCCATTTTCTACATGTCGTTGCTTCAGCACCCAACAGCCAATCACCAAGCTCCCTGTCGCAGGTTACCGTAGTAACAGAGAGCTCTCTCGTGGCTCGGCTCTGTAAAGGACTGACAGGCATGTCGGCATGGTAACAGCTTCAGAGACTGACACAAATCTTTGTGTTCTTTAGAGGGTGTAGCTTAAACTCATACAAGGATATTTTAGCCAGTGCACCATTTATATGTTTTTAAACCATACCAAACCAAATGGTAATATTTCATCAAAGACATGTGTGCCCAAGGTCAAGGAAGGACCTTCAAGATTTTCAAGTGAAGCTGTAATTGTCAAGGTCACATAAGCAAGGGCTAAATATTCGAAGCGATACGTTTTGTTTGCAGGAAAGAGGCCACTGAGGGATCAAAACCACACACTGTGGGTTATGCCCTCTGGGGAATTTCCTCACACAGTTGGTGGTATTAGGTGTATTATCAGAGAAAAGGTTAAGTACTCGTCACTGAAATTTGGCTACAGAATACATGCCCTGAGGTAGAAATTCAATACAACAAAAGTAAATCCACCTGTGATCACTGACACACAAGTTAGAAAACCTGTGATCACTGCAATTGAATTGATTTCTGGTTAATTAGCTGCATGAACATGGTTATGAAATCACCTGTGAAAACCAGAACTTTGTCAACTGTGGACCAATGTGCTGTGTCTATCCACATGTGTGTAAGAGGATCTGAAAAATATGATTGTGAGACTTTACAAAGATAGAGGAAGATGGTGACCATTTAAAAATCAATGAAAACACAGCTGTAGCAGTAATCAAGATGTGCAGAACGAGCTATAGGAACATTAATCGCTGCAGCAGTGGCCATCCTAAAATGACACCAAAGACAGTACCATACTTGCACAGTCTAGCGCTGTAAAATCTTTTTTTTTTAAAACGTGACTTTCTGTGGCAGCTCGGAGTGTGACAGGCATTGCATAATGTCAGCCTTCACGGATGGCATGAAAGAAAAATGTCCTTGCTTGCTCTTTCGTACAAAATTGCAGGAAGAAACTTTGTTAATATGCTAACAGTAGACTGATGGATATTGGTAGCACGTTCTTTGTTCAGGTGAGACCAACATAAATTTGATTGGCTTATAATGGGCCAAGCATGTTTGGTGTGAACTCGGGGAGATTACTTCAATAAATGCATAGTCCAAACAGCAAAGCCTAGAGATAGGAGTGTGATCATATGGGGTTGCATGTGTGCAGAAGATTTTGGAAAAAGGACATTTTTCGATAACACCATGATCGTCTGTGAATATAGCAAAATATTGCTAAACAAGATGACTCCCTTTCTACAAATGCTTGGCAGGGGAGACCAGCATGACAAGCTTTTAAACTGTATTGCCAATATCATACAAGGGTTTCTACAGAGGAAAAAAATTAAAACTATGACCTGGACAAGTATGTCATCAGAGCTGAATCCAGCATAACATTTTTTTAATTGGATTTTAAAGAGAAATATATAGCAGCACAACCCCTCCAACAAAAAGCAGCTGGAAAAGAAAATAGTTTTTGAAGAACAGCAGAACATCGCTTCAGACATTTGTGCAACGAATGCAATGAACTACAATCACTTTGTTCATTTTGACTATTCCACTTCCTGTTTCATGATTGATTATCACTGTACAGTATTGTGAATTCACTTCACTTGTCAAAGTTCGATAAAGGGTGACTCAACTCAAAAGATTGTGGTGTATTTGATTTGTAATCGTTGTGGGGACTTCATTGAAATAACCAGCACACCAGCCAAAATAGAAACCTGCACAGTTTGATACTGTGGTGTGACTGGGCTCTAATGGTAACACAGTTAGCCCGCACTGTTTGCCTGCACAGTCTGTCAAAAATGACCTGCTGTGGCAATGCATGTTAGGAAAACTTGTTGATTTACAGAAAAACACACAGCTCACCTTCCTTTCAGTGGTTGCTAATTTTTCTGTCTTTGGTATAGTAAACATGATCTGGTGCATCATTGCCATATTATTACCTTACTGGTGCTTTTAATGAAAGCATTTGATTCTCATCATTCTTCTTTGAAAAAATGGTCCAAACACAGTTGGAAACAAATGGATGGCTAACTGGAATCAGGGAATATACACATAAGAGGCTTTACATTCAACAATTTCCCTGAGGTTTGCACCAAAGGGATCAATAAAGTTCTATTCTATTCTATTCTATTCTACATTCACTCTACATTCAAAGACCAACTTCAGGGCTGAAAGCTTGGTACCATCCCCACATCCCGCATGTTGTTGTCTTCAAGGTATGTTTCATATTAGGCCTATCATGCATCTTCAAAAAATTGCAATAGTCATTGCTTTTCTAAATCAATTGATAATAATACAACTCAGGGTGAAATGAGATTTCTCTTTTTTTTATTTTCATTGTGGGAGTCCATGGAAATTAGCTCTGTCATGTAAATTGTCTTCACTGGTATTTCTATTTGTCCTTAACACAAACACAGAGAAACAAAAGATGACAATTACTTCCCTTTTATTTATTTGGTATACTATGTCCTGCATATATTTGAATGCTGCATGTGATATATCAATGATCTTTGTACCCATCTACGTCTTGATGGTGTCCATCTCTGACCATTGTCCTGATCAATCGACCTCTCTTGTAAAACGTAGTCTTTAATGCAGAACTGATTGGACTGTTACATATTGAGTTTAACTCTGACACCACAGTAAATTGCTGCTTATTATTGAGGCTCTAGTGTTGACTATCTTGCTTGGTCAGTCAGACCACCATCTTGGTTTTCCAACTGACCTGACTCACTGGATGTACACTTGGGGTATAAGCTTACCATTTCTGCTGCACATTTCACACAGCATTCTCCCCTATTTCCCATTTTTACAGTTTACTGTTTTTAAAATGCTCTTTGCTTCCGGAAACAACAACTACAACCTCCGAGCAGCAACCTCCACACTGACAACAGCATGTTATCAAGAAGACTTTGAGTCTGCAATAAGGCAGGCCTGTTTGATTCTTTTGCTTATTCAGCCATTTTAATGATAACGCCTGCCTTCCGGTGTGCAAATGTTCCTCCAATCTTGTTTCTCTGTCATTATTTTGTAAGGAAACCATTGTTGCATTCTCATTCTCTTAGCGCTGACCAAGGTGTTTCTTATTGGTTTAAAGAAATACAACAAGGTATTGTGGTAAAACTGCCTCGTATTAAGGTGCAGCCAGATCATTTTCCAGCACTGACACAGCCCTGTGGAGATATGCCTGGCTTTCTGGTCTAGACTAGGTTTAGACTGACAACTTTCGGCAAATAGTCAATCGCTAATGCAGAGCCACATAGGTACACCTTTCAGTTGGATATGTTGGAAAAACCTCCAAAGCAAGTCACGCAGGAGGCATCCTAATCAGATGCCTGAACTACCTCCTTTTGAGATGAAAAAACAGTCACTCCAAACTCCTTGTTTTCCTTCTGCTGTTTGTGTGTACCTGTATATTTCTGCAAGACACGCTAATACGCAAATACATACATTCACCCACACAGGTAGGCTGTAGGTGCACATAATTTGTTGAAACACTCCTGTCATATTGTTCAGCATCAGAATGTTATTTTAACGCCATGCTCTCTCTGTCTTTCTCCCAGACTGCGGCGACAGCAGCAGAGTCCTGGTCTATTTGGGAAGATGCGATCAGCTCGGTTCAGTCCGGACAATCCAGACGGTCCAAGCAGCGACATGGATGAGGAGGAGGAGGAACTGCAGCTCCAGATCCCATGACATAGACACACACTTACACAAACACACATTCTCTTGGGGGGGAAAAAAACTTCATATGCCCAGAAATGATTATGTTTTTCAATAGGAATCAGCACTGTCCCGACCAGCAAGCAACATTTTAGGAAAGATTTCAGCCTGCGTCAGATCGAGCAGTCAGTATTATGTTTATATCTCCACATCTATACATCTTCATTTGGATCCAAATTAAAATAGCCTCAATTGCTTGCTGGGTATGTCATCAATCAATAATCAATTAATAAAAAGAAAGCAGCTTTAATCAAATGAACGATCAACATCTATGTGGTTTATTCCAGAAGAAATGTGAAAGAATCAGAACAGTCTGAAGAAGTCAGAGTAACAAAGTTTTCATCAAGCATCAATGTGATAAGCACACAGCTAATATTTATGGAGACAACACACACAATGCACACTCAAACTCATACATGCTTGGACATACTTGCATATATAGACACAGCCACAAGATCAACCCCAGCCAGACTGTGACAGACAACAACAGGATATCCACTTAGTATAATAGTGGATGGAAGAATCTTTCCTTAATTGATTTGTTGACAAACTTCCAACAAACCACTCTGAAAGAGGCCGACATGTTTAATCCTTTAAACGACTCAGTCATTCTTACCTCATATCATTACAAGCAATACAGCTGCCCACCTGAACTGTGCTGCTGTTTTCAAACATGTCAACCCTACATCTACATTAGCAGTATTATAAAAAATGGAAAAACCATTTCATGTTCCGTTTCTGATTGGAGGTGTTTATTCATATATACCAAGGGAACACCAGTCTTTTTAGGATTTTACATGCTGCTTAAAATGTTCTGTCACATTTTAACAAGATTTGAGTATTTTTTTTTGCCCAACTATCAAAGACTCAACATCTATTTCTGATGTACTAGTAAGTAATGTTCACGACCATTGCTGGGAGCACACTGCAGAAACTTTACACTGCCTCAGAAAATAGTAGGTTGTCTCTGGCCTCTGATGAGCTGCAACTCTGTATGTGTTGCACTAAACTTCTCATTGACAACTTTTTTCCACCTAGAGAGCTGTCTTCTGACACTGCCCTTATACTCTACATGAGGACATTTTTATTTCTTGTAGTTTCTACACAATACAGAAGAATCATACAGGAATCAAAACTAGCACAACTGGCTCTCATTGCCTTCTGAGTGTATCTGATGATATCTGCACAAAGTTGAGCTTTTCTCACCTCTCCCCTGTAGAGCCACTGTGCAGCTCAGTGGGCGGAACCAGGCTGCAATGCCATGTCCCATTTGCAAAGAGCAGCAGCCCATCACTGTCATTATGGGTGAACGGCACTATTATGGGTGCAAGTTAGGATTAAATTCACAGTATGTGTGAAGCAGGCGTTTGCTGCCTTTTCAGACTTTGTATTTTCATTCCACATCAGGCCCAGCTCAAACTGAGAGAAAGCCCACTACATCTCTTCATACATGGCTGCTGCTGTCCTACAATTGCACTGTGGGTTTTTAGCATGATGGCTGTGTTCTAGGGAAGCTAAAATTTGCATTAAATAATATGAAAGATGCACATATACACAAATAGACTGGCTTGGAACTGAACCTGACTTAAGGCTACTGTGCTTTGTTATGTTACAACTCATAGACATATTATGAACTTGGTGTGGAAGTACTTTCTCTCATAGAAAAACCCTCATCTGACCACAATAATATACCAATACATGAAATGTCATGCTGACCCACCAAACATGTACAACTTTTATTTGACAATAAACGGTAATTTGCATTTAGTGACAGTATGCACGAAGCAGTGCAATCACAAGCCTGTCATGTTAATGTCACACTTTTTTGAAGATGACAACAGCATGTTGCCTCCTCAGTCGTATCATAACTGTCAGCATCAATTTCATCCTCTTCTCTGACGATGTGCATTCTAAAAGTGAGGGAAATCTGCTTGTATTATCAGAAAAGTGTGTTAAGTCTTATCATTTCACAATGTAGTGTATTCCCAGCATGACCGGAGCTGCTCTCTGACAATAACAACGTGACAGTGAATTTTAGACTGTATGTACATCAGCATGAGCTAAGAGAATGTTCAATATCATTGTTAAATGAATACACTGAGCATTATATCAGTGTGATTGTTTCATTGTCTCTATGAAGGGTAACATGTCCAGCAAAGCTCCGGTTACATCAGCATTTGAAAAGAATTGATTTTGTGGTGAGGTCACTTCTTTTCATGCAAATTTGCACTAAAAGAACAGACAGCCAAAGAGTCAAAATGGAAGAAGATACTGAAGCATATACCTGTAAGTTTGAGGTCTTCTCAGTCAGCAAGTGAAGTGCTCCACTGATTAGGGATGATCTCCAGTCAGGAGACAGGAATCTGTGTAACAAAGAAACTGAGTTATCCTTTTTTCCACTTAGCAACCATGCTAAGGAGCTTGAAAACTGCCAGGAAGTTGTTGTTTCTTTCCTTTAAGCAACTGTTTAGTAATTAAAATAATGCACAAGTTAGCTAGTGGTAGCATGTTTCCAGCTGACTAGTGTTTTAGTGGTTAGCAGGTACAGTTGTTCACCATCTACACCAGTGAGTAACTGTGAGGTCCTCCAACCTCTCACCTCATGCAAAGATGAACTTAGCAGTGTGCCTCTGTCTGGTGTGACTGGGTTTGAATGCAGACTGAACTCTGAAAGTGCATCTTCAAAAACAGGACATTGGTATACTTTGAGAGGAAGAGATTTTAAGCTGGATCGTGTCCTTTGATGCTTTTAGGTTTTGAAGAAATTATTTTTTTGTCTGAGCAATCATTCTAGGTGGTTCAGTACTGTTTAAATAGACATGGTCCATATCTTGACCTGTTTTATACAGCCAAGGTTTTCCAGACAGAGAAAACTAGATAGACATCCAGAGTTCTGTTGCTCTCTTCTGGGTTTGGATGTGCAGATAGGGTTTTTTATGTATTGTTAATGCTGATGTTTAGTATTTTTGAATTTTATTTTATTTTCCTGGAAAAAGAATCCCACAAATTTACACTGATATACCACAACATTAAAACTACCTGCCTACTGTTATGCAAGTCTTCCACATGCCACCAAAACAGTTCTGACCCACTGGGGCATGGGCACCAGACCTCTACAGGTGTCCTGTAGTGGCTGTCACAGGAACACTGGCAGCAGATTCTTTAGGTCCTGTGGGCTGTAGGTGTGGCCTCAGTGGATCGGGCTTGTTATAGTGCATTCCATTAATACTTAATCAGATTAGGAGGACTTTGGAAGTCAGGTCAATGCCTTGGGCATTCTCAAGCTGTTTTTGGGCAGTTTTTGAAATGTAGCAGGGCACTAAACGTGGTAATGCTCTGTATGGGAGATAGAAACACCTTAACTGCATAGGTTTTGACATAACAAACATTCAACTTACATGACTGATCTCCTGTTTCATTTCTTGTTTTTATCTCTGGACAGTATCAAACATCGCCATCACCATCCATCCATTAACTGTACACCACTTAATCCTCACTAGGGTCGTGGAGTTAGGGTGAAGGCAGGGGACACCCTGGACAGGTCACCAGTCTATCACAGGGCTACACTTAGAGACAGACAACCAAGCACACTCACATTCACACCTACAG